TACAAATTTGGAATTAATCAAATGCAAACAATTTATTCAGCTTCCAGTGGCGTCATTGAATGTTACTAAAAAGGCGAAGATCAAGTTTACTGCGACCTTTCACAAAATCCGAATGGAGTGTAGGGTGGGGGGTCGACTTTAACTGAACTTGGTCGTCACAACTTCCTGGACGGATAAACGGCTGATTATAAGGTCAGAAGCGTCTAATTAATGGTGGCTCCACCGTTGCACGTGGTTCTCTTTTTGATGGTTGCACGGCCTCCTGTTCACACTTCTCGGCCGTCCACTCAACACCTCAGAGCTCCTCGAGCCTTGAAAGCAGCGGAGCGTTTCGTACCGCAGAAAAGGGTAATTAGGCCGCTCGCGATGCCGAGCCTGCGGAATCCGTTCTTGAACTTCTCGATGGAGAGGCGATGCGGTATCCGTAGCGAGAGTTCGGAAACGGTAGATCAAATTACTTATTAGCTGCTTATGTACCTTTCGGACTATTGATAAACCTTGTTACATTTCGATAACTCCGTGAGCAAAGTGCCAACAAGGGCCGAGCGCCACGTCCTATACTTTTCAGCCATCCTGTAACTTATCCATAGAGACATGGATTTATTATATTGTGGCAGAAGCGGACAACAGATATGATAGTCTTACAGAGGTAATACGCTTGAAAAATCTTTAAAGTTTGCTCTTTTCAGGTTGCTACGCGCTATTGGACGTTTTAGGTTCTCCTATCCCAATCTCTTACCTTTTACTACTATGACAGCCTTTATCAGAAACTAGCTAATTTTCCTAAAATAGCCAATTAGTATGATTTCAAAATCCCCATAATTAACATGCTCTCGGCTGTCTTTGACAAATTTGCGTAGCAATAGTAAATCAAACGAGTGGGTAAAAACTCTCATTATGCGTATGCAATTGTTTTGTTCTTCGCTTGTCCAAACTCTTACGTTTCTTTGGATGTGCAATGCCAAAGCAAAGTAGCACCTTTTTCATGCTTTTAGACATGTCTTTTGCACAACAATTTGAGAGCTTGGTTCAGTTATTCCCTTCTTCTCTGGAGAATAATATCCTGCCTTAAATTGATTTGGTTGAGCTACGGTATAAACTTCAAAGCAAACGGTTTGTACAAGTTGGATACATTTTTCGTTTCCAACAAAATTACCCCAGCAAAAACCACATTGCCGATAGACAACATGGTTCAATAAACCACCAATTTTCTTTAAAATATAACTTAAACGTTAGCATATTCTACCCTGTCAATCACAATGCTCTACCACCTTTAATAGTTACAACCTTACGCAGGACAAATTGGTACTAAATCATACTCCTCTGATGTTTGTAATCATTCTCAGATTTTTGTTAGTTTAAATGAAGGGACATATAGCCATTTTTCGCTGCCATACACATGAGGTTATACAAAGGCACAATGACGTGAACGTTTGAAACATCACGATACCGTATAACGCTGGAGCGACGCTGTTATTGCCAATTCAGTACATGTTATAGATGAGAATTTCGTGTACTTTTAGAAATCCGGACGAGAGGGATATGCAAATGAATGTAAGTTAAATAAAATATTATACTGGTCAATGCGATTTCGTCCATGAAGGACAGACTACTGTTATTTACATTCAAGGACTGAACGGATTTACATAGGTCAGATGATCAGAAGACTAGATGGATGAAACGGAACGAACGATTTGAATAAAAGCCGTTGTCGAACTCATTTAGATCAGTACCTCTGTTACAATCATCTCTGAACATTCCCTCCTTTCAACAGCCAACATTCCTCTTTTTTTAATATCAGTTCTATTCAGTCCAATTGTAACTTTACAGATGAACAACACTATAGCTCTACTTGCAATAGCGTTTGCTGTCGTTTGCGCTCACAACGGGGTTCGCGTATCGTACACTTATACAGGACCACGAGGCGAAGTTTATGATGGAGGTGAAGGATTCGCAAGGATTACGGGAGGCTCACAAGGAGGGGGAAGTTATTATGGCTCTCAAAGAGGTCTAGGATTCGCAAGGATTACGGGAGGCTCACAAGGAAGGGGAAATTATTATGGCTCTCAAAGAGGTCTAGGATTCGCAACGATTACGGGAGGCTCACAAGGATGGGGAGGTTATTATGGCTCTCAAAAAGGTCCAGGATTCGAAACAATTGTGGGAGGCTCACGAGGATCAAGAGGAAGAGGTCATCTTGCTCTTCTACCTCCATATCTTATAAACATAAATGTGACGGCAATAAATGAGTACTTCACCATAATGGCGAACACTAGTATGACTATTGGCGATAAAGAGAACAAACTTTATGAGTGGGGAGCGAAAAATGGAGTTAGTGTAAGTTCAAAACTATTAACCCTTTTTCCGTTTTTGGCGAGCAAATACTTGCAGAGAGAAGTCGAGGAACTCATTGCCAACATAACCGAATATGAGGAAGAAATTAAGGAGAACGTAACTGAACTCATTGAGAAGCTGCCAAAAGCTTTTCAAAACATTTCTGCTATTTTTGAAAACAAGAACCAAACCTGCAGAGAGCAAACACAAGCAATCAAAAACCTTACATCAGCAGACCCAAAGATATGTCAGCCGAGCACTTTGAGAGAAGCGAAACAATCTAAACGGATTTTAGGTCTACCGAGTCCTTAAATTTGTTTCCAATCAGTTCCCGAGAAATCCGCATGGACGGCTATGGGGATTATGTAAACTAATGGGAATAGGAGGAACAGGATGGCCAAGAGGACCAAGGGGACCGCGAGGACATGGACGGAAAAGAAACTGGAGTCAAGGACCGAACAGCTCAATTGAGAGAGATCGTTTTTATCCTTATTTCCAGATATAAGTTGATGGCAAGTATAGGATAATGATGAAAACGAATGCCGTACATACACTTTCCTTCTTTCTTTCTTCTCTTATTCTTTCATTTAATTATTTGTTGATTATACCCTGCTTATTTGTTTTAGGCTAAGATTATAAATGATTTGAGAACGCCAATTTCCGAAATCATATCAAACATTTCAATTTGTTTTTCCTATACGTTCTAGATAGCGATCGTGCTAAAGGAATCCAAATAGGTAATAACTGTTCAAAATGATTAAAACTCCTCCTTGCTTGCTATACCTCCAATATTTTACGCTTGGTCAATGAGAGTGTTATAGCTTGACAGAACATACAGTATGCTTCCTCTCCGCTCCCTCCCTGCCCCTCTACATAATTCGCAGTACATGTCAAACAATTATTGTGCCACTGTTATATGATATAAAAATCAGAGTATTATCTGTGCTTTGTGCGAACATCTATGACTGTAGAAAAAGGAAATACTAGGGTACAAGGGATGTTATCAATTAATGAAAGAAAGGAGAGGCATAATGGCAACCACCTTATTTTTTCCTAAAATGTTACAATTGAGTAGGGCTTAACTCAAATCAACTATTTGCATGCGACAAACTTCTGCGAGATAACACGCAGTTTCGCATGAATGTCAAGAACCTAGACACAAATCATTCTTTCTTTTTCCATTTTTTAGATACGTTCGAATTGAGATGTGAGTTAATGGTATCTGTTGACCTCACTTTAAAGGTTTTAACACTTAGCAACATAATTTACAGAAGAAATTCAGCGCTTAGACTTGTTCTCGCGCCTACTAGCGCTAGCTTGGTGTTTAGACAAAAAAAAAACCAAAACCAAAAACCGTACGAAG